TCCACCGATTTGACCGTTTTCCTATCTTCTTTCCGCCATCGGAACTCGCACTCGCCCATCCTCCGCAGCCTCTCATCCTCGCCCTCGTTCTCGTTCTCGTCCTTGTCCTCATCCTCCGCCACGTTATGGCACCGCGTGTTAAGGAAACTAATGTTTATTTGAAAAACTAATTGAACGGGACTCTCGCGTCTACAGCCGGCAATTAAACGAGATTACTGCAGTAGCGCTCGAGCCCCCGTGGGGGATTAGATAGCACAGTAAGATATGGAACGCGTAATGTTTAACTACGGCTGCCGGCAGCCCTCTCTGAAGCGCCCGCCAATAATTAATTGTTAGCTCGATACCGCCGCCGCGGAAACCGGCCGATATCAAAAAACCGGGATACCGCCGTCGTCTGCGCGCCTCTGTGTGCCTCTCTCGCGGATCGTTTCGCGCCAACCATTTCCATTCCCTGTTCTTCTATTTTCTTCTCCCCGTTTCCGCTTTTCCCCTCTCTTTCTCTCTTTGTATCCTTCGTTTCCTCAACGTCGTGACTCGCCTAATCTCGCCAAGATGAAACTCTATGCGCGCCAATACCCGCGTTTTCGTACTCTCCGGGAAATGGGGATTTTTTTCGACCAAACGAGAATGCGACGCGAACGAGTATCCTCCTCCTTTCCTGGTTTTTCTAGCGAGTAATCAACAGTCGACGGTTGAACCGATTCCCACTTTCTTGGGACAGGAAGAGAAACGGGCAAGAGAAATTTTGAAAATATTAACCATTTAATCTTGGATTGGAATGGAAATGTGTGGTCGATCTTGGAATAGTTTTTAAGTTATGGTTATTGTAGTTGTACTGTGTATTGTTAGTTTGTGATGGATTTTGGGAAAAGATAAAATCTTTCGATATTTATGGTAGCTGAAATGAATTCAATGAATTAATAATGAGAGATAGTTAAAAGATTGGAATTTTTAAGAATCTTGTGTGAATATAAAAATTTTTATCGTCGCATTATAAGAAACAACAATATAATATCACAATATTATTCTAAGAATATATGTTAAGGTGCATGATTAATTTGTTTTTCAATGACTAAAAAATTGTTCTATTATTATTGAAATATTCAAAGTAAACGATCGAATTCACATTTTTTCCAGATTTTTCTCTTTTTCTCTTTTAAAATAATCGTTGTACAGCACGTTTAATCTGTCGAGTTGACGTTTTGATCGATATAAATAAACTCATTGATTCCTTCTTCCGGTATTTTACTCCGAATAATATCCAACATCATTTATCGAACAAACAGTTTATGGAGTTCAGCATCAATATTCGCAGATAAGCGTATACACTTGTTCAAAAAATCGCTTTTGTGAAACGTGTCTCAAGCTAACTTGTTAATAGCGCCCTCTAGTGGTGGACGGAATCGAGCACTGAAAAAAGTAACTAGTTAAAAGTTACTAGTTACCTTTATATAACCTGAACTCTTTATATAACCCTGTTTCTACTCACTGTACAATTATTATTCACCGTACGATTATTCGATGTTTCATTGAATCTTAACTTTATATATATTCTTAACTTCGACTGGTTCAATTTTGCTCGAACCTTTGCATCAAACGAGTCTGACCAAGAGAGGACGAAACTACTTCAAAGCGATCCGCGCTTGACGTTGCTAGCTCGCCCGACTATACGCACGCTTGCATCACTTAATAACGTTACATCGTTCAGTTTTTCGACCGATTCGATCACTCGCTTTAAAGAAAACGATACGAATCGAAACGAATATTCGCGCAATCTCATAAACGTGCATACTTATGTGTATATATATATATATATATATACATTTCTCTCGATTGTTACACGTCAAAATATTTGACATGGCAGATATATCAGAAACGTTAAAAGTACGTAAATAGTACTAATAATGATAAAGACGCGTTACAACATTAGGTGGTCAATATATATTGATACTAATTCTTCGAAATTTTTCTCTTTTTACGAACCTAATTTTTCACCCCTGATATAGCTTTTGTTCCACCAACGTTATTATTAATAGCCTGTATTTATTTTTTCCATTTTCCGCACACAGTTTGGATGCACTTTCTCTTGTACATATATATATATATACGTAATAAGAAAAAATGAATCCCACTACAACACCAGTACGATCTCATCGCAACTTCGTGTTATACGTAATAGAAATGTCATTCTGATTATCGATGAAAACCAGAATCGATTCATGATCGATTCATTCGTGGTGTGAATAAGTTCGAAATAGTAGTAGTGAATCACACGAAAGGACACGTGACAATTAACATTGTCCTATACAACCACGATCTTTCTCGAGGCTCACGAGGGTTTCCATACGATATAACGTAAGAATAAATTTAAAAGAATCGTTTCCACGTCTCTTCTACCTTGCGAAG